GTCCCTCCCCCAGAACCCCGGAAGGACTCGGTGCCGTTCGAAGGAGGCGAGGAGCGCGAGTCCTGGGATAGCAAGCTGCAGTTCCTCCTGGCTACCGTAGGATATGCTGTAGGACTCGGCAACGTCTGGAGGTTCCCTTACCTGGCGCAGAAGAATGGAGGAGGTGAGGAATGGGGAGGAAAAGTGTGGGTCGGGGAAGAGAGGAGGAAGGAGGGAGGTGGAGGAAGAGGAGAGGAACGAGGGGAAAAGAGGACGGAGGTGGAGGAAGAGGAGGAGGAAGGAGGGAGAGAGAGGTGGGAGGAAAGGCGGAGAAAGAGGAGGAGGAAGGAGGGAAGAGAGAGGTGGGAAGGAGAAAGGCGGAAAAAGAGGAGGAGGAAGGAGGGAAGAGAGAGGTGGGAAGGAGAAGAAGCGAGGAAGGTGGTGTGAGGAAGAGGAAGGAGGAAGGAGGATGGAGATATAGGAAAGGAGGAGGAAGAGAGACAGAAGGAGAGGCGTGGGAAGGATAAAAGAGATAGGTGATAAGGTGGAAAGAGGAAAAGGGAGAGGAGGGGAAGAATAGAGACGATAGGAGAGGAGAGGAGGAGGAAAATGGAATGAGATGGAGGAGGGGATGAAGGAGAAGAGAGGGAGGAGAAGGAAGATGAGGAAGGTACAGAAAGAAGACGAGGGAGAGGAGGAGGATGGGATGGATGTAGGGAGGAAAGAGAGGAAGGAAGGAAGGATAGAAGGGGGGAAAGGGAGGAGAAGATAGTCAGCAGATAGAACGAGGGCGGCAAGGAGGGAGCAGGAAAAGGGGAGGGGGAGGAAGAAAAAAGGAAGTAGAGTAGGAGGAGGCCGTAGTTGGGCGGTGAAGAGGAGTGATGGTGTGGTGTAGAGGAGAGGAGAAGGACAGAAGGAAATGGTAGGGAGAAGGATAAAAAAGGCAGATGCGGAGAAGATTGGAAGGAAAGGAGAGGAAAGTGGCGAAGAAGAAGACGAAGAGAAGAGGAAAGGAAGTCGAAGACAAAAAAAACAAAGAATGAGAGAGAGAGAGAGAGAGAGAGAGAGAGAGAGAGAGAGAGAGAGAGAGAGAGAGAGAGAGAGAGAGAGAGAGAGAGAGAGAGGAGAGAGAAGAGAATGGGAATGCGTGTGTGTGCGTGTGCTGTGTGTGGTGTGTATCTGTGTTGTGTGCATGTCTGTGTGCATGTCTGTGGCATATATATACATAATACTGTGAACAGCTGTTAAGTAGAAATAACAGGAATTCCGATACTCAAACGTTTCCGCGAAGTGCCCTCGGCGCGCGTGTCGCAAAGTAGGTCCGCCAACTCATCAGATTCAAGTTTCGTGGTCCGGTAACCGCGCAGATTTCGCCATCTCTTGCAGGCTATTCAGGTCTCTGCCTTTTATTTCTCCTCTGGGATCGAGCGCTTGTTGAGATGGTAATTGTCAGCTCACTCTGGAAAAAAAGAAAAACATCGCGTGTACGAAGATGAAATGGAATCGCACAATAAGAGAGAAATATGTGGCGTTATGATATTGGATTCCTCGTCGGGGTGTCTGACTCGAAGCGTTGGGATTTTTTTTTTTTTTTTTGTCTTTAGTTTGGTTGTCTCTTTCATTTATTATATTCATACTGAATTAATTACTTTTAACCCATTTGATCAGCTACGTTTTTAGTCACTATTAAAGTCTTTGTGATAGCCATTACTTTTGTCAGAGAATTTAATAAAAGAAGAATTTCCTTTTTTTCCCGGAGCAAGACCATTTGCATGATTCTGCACAAGACAGCCATTCCTCAGGCGTTTTCCTCGCACAAGGCCGGAGATTATTCTCAAGAGCCTCATAAAGTCCTCCCTTTTTTACCCGTTATTTACAGTGTATATGGATGCTGAACTTTTGAAGCCCCGAAGCCAAGTGAATCCTCGCATGTGTGAAACCCGTGAAACTTTATCCGAAGCCGTCTCGAAGCCGCGAAGCCGTAAATTTAAGGGGGTTCGGAGAACTCGACGTATTTCATACAAGTCGCGCTTTATTAACCTTGAAGAGAAAGTGAGAATGGGAATTGAGAAGAGGGAGAGAGGGAAAGGGCGGATGAGGATGGGAAGTGAGAAAGGGGGAGAAAGAGGGAAGGGTTAGAAGAATATGGGAAATGAGGAAGAATGAGAAGAAGGATGGGATTAGATAAATATGGTAAGTGGGAACGGATGAGAAACAGGGAAACTTAGAGGGAAATGAGAAGCAAGAAAAAGAGGAAAACTTTGGACAAAAATGGGAATGCAGGAAATTATAGGAGAGATGAAGGATGAGAAAGATGAGATAAGACAGGGAAATGGCAATAAGTAAAATGGAAGAAAGAAAAAAAGAGCATGAAAAGGGGTAAGAAAATGCAAGAAGCAAGAAGAAGGAAATGATATGAAAAGGGAAAGATAAGAAGAAAGTAAGGGCAACACACAGAAAGGGAGAAGACGTAGGGAAGTCAAGCAAGATGAGTCGAACCCCTTTCCCTCCTTCCTCCTCCTCTCAACACCTCCTCGTCTGCCAAACGCGACTCATCCAACACACCGTCACTTAATAAGCAGAGACGACGCGGCAGTGCAGTCAAGCGAGCGTTTATGCGTCTTAGACACTCGTTTGACTCCCTCCCTGGTCCTCTCGTGGGCGGGGGATACGGATGCATAATTAAGGCGAATGACGCAATGTCGAACGAATGGGCATGAAAATGTAGTGATATTGTCTTTTTTTTGTATTGTAAAGTGTGAGAGTATTTTGTTTATATGGAAAGCGGTAGTTAAATACAGATCCGTTCTGAATAATCTAGGAAAATGTTTCTAAAGATAAAATGCACCTGTATCTTTTTTTCTGAGGAAAAAAGATGGCGCTCATCTCCCACGCAGATTGAATACTCAGACAAGCAGAAAACTGGTAACATACATGATGTCTGCACTCATGCCTTTTTTCTCTTACTTTTATTCTTAGTTTTTCAGAAGGGAAGCTGTCATGGGAAAAGCAGTTTCTGAATTCCTGGAAGCGGCTTAGGCAACGCATCCGTTGCCTAAGCCGGAGACAAAACCGAACGATTATTATGCGTAGAGAAAAAAGGGTGAGGGAAGGAAGAGCGAAGAAGGGAGTAGGAGGGAGAGATAGAGATAGATAGAGAGAGGAATAGAGAGAGGGAGGGAGGGAGGGAGAGGGAGGGAGGAGGGAGGAAGAGGAGGGAGAGGAGAGAGAGAGAGAGGAGAGAGAGGAGAGAGAGAGAGAGAGAGAGAGAGAGAGAGAGAGAGAGAGAGAGAGAGAGAGAGAGAGAGAGAGAGGAAAGTGAGAGAGAGAGAGAGGATAAAAACCTGAGAGAGACGACATACATACATAGATAAATAGACAAACAAAGAGAAAGATAAGACGTCTAAATAGATAGATAAATAGATCAGGCAAATAGCTAAATGAAGAGAATAGAGGAGGATCAGAGTGACGTTAATGGACTCTGACCACCTAATGCCCATCCTGTTTAAACCGTTAATTACCCGGGACTTTCAGCTCCTCTTTCACGTCACATCCCAGAAGGACGTTCAATAATGATAATCCAACGCAGAAAGAGCTTTAACGGCTTTTGTAATTCGCGTGTGCCGTTGACATCAAAGCTGTTGTGTTTTGCTTTGAGTCGATTGCATGAAAACGAATAGATGTTTTTCTCTTCTTTGTTAATTCTCCTTCGCATCCGGTTTCCCTTCGTCCGCTTCTTTCTATCGATTCACTGTTTCGTCATTCTCTTTATTATCCTTGTCACTATTACTGTCAACAACATGTGCATATTCATTCTCATTTGTCTCATCATGCATTATCATATCATCATTGTCAGTTAATTATATATCATATTCATATTATCATTATCATCATCGTTATTATCATTATTATTATCATCATCATTATCATCACAACTATTACCATTATCATATCATTATCATTGGTATCATTACTTATTACTATCCGTTTTGTATCATTATATATTTTCTTTATTTCTTTATTTAATCGGTTTTGTTATTGGTCTTTTTTACATTATCATCGTTTTTGCTTACATATTTTTTCTTTCTTTATTTATTTGGTTAATGTTATTGGTCTTCTTTTACATTATTAGTGTCTTTTACTTACCTTTTTTATCTTGGTCAGAGTGCATTTTGACGGTTGTAAACTCTCTAACTTTATTTATGTTAATTGCGTACAAAATTCTATTATCTGATTACTCTTATTCGACATGTCTAACTCCAAATTGATCCAGAAAACTTTATATCAAAATATTATACTACTTGACATGAGTTTTCTATTAATATTTGGTACAAAAGAATAAAGAATCTATATATTTTTTAGTACCACTATGGCTATTGCACAAGTTTATGAAGATAATAACAGTAATGACATGATAACGTTAATAATAACGATGCTACTGCTTATAAAGATTACGACGGTAAAAAGTTGCATCAATGATAAGAAAAAATACATTATTTCTCCTGAAATATTAAGAAAAGGAATTGTAAAATAAAAACTAAAGAGAAAGCTAGTATTGCTGCCCTACCGGCGTTAATACTTACAATAATAGCGACGATAAGTAACGAAAAAAACTCATTTATATAAATGACATCTTATCACATTCTCCCTTCACCCTGTCTCTCTTCCCTACTAAGAAAAAGAACGATAAAACTAAAATAAATGATACAAATTATACAGAAATACATGTAAAACATAAAACAGTGCATTTAAAAGTCTTGGTCCATTAAGCAAAGCTCTTTTAACGGACCTAATGTGATTAGATTATAAAATCAACATTCAGGTCGAAACATATATCCTAATAATGATTATACAAATCATTTGCTATCAGACTTTTAAAGCTCTTTACTAATTTAGAAAGTTTAATTTCCAATCTGAACGTATTTCACATTCAGAACCTTTGAAAAATGTTTTGTTGTACATGTGAAGCTCTTAATCGAGGGATACGAAGCGTGGCAAGCACTAATGGTGATACCACTAAAATTATGCTGATACCACTACAACAGGCGACCCCATCATGCAACTCCTGACATGACCGCGACCCAAATCTGTTCTACAGTGTACATTTTTATATTATATTAGCATATTTATATAAATCAGCGAACTGGTAAATAATTCGATAAACAAAAATCCACAATTCCGATTACATTTTCTTTAGTTCCAGTTTCATCAGAATTTAATAGTTTTTTTCGACTGCATTTTAAACTATTGTGTAATGATCAAGCAAAATTTTACCATTAGCTCTCAACTGATATGTAACTACGTATATGCTGAAAACATATCAAAACTAAGAACTGACCACGTATTATATTTTGAGGGCTTGGCGACCCCAGGAAAACGTTTGGCTGCCCCAGTGTTGGGAAAGGCTGCATAATGATGGTGATTCCGCTACAATCCTGACATCAGTATTCCCAGAATAATATGATTGCGTTCACTGTTAAACTTTTTTCCCAAAACTTCGTAAATTGGAGCAGACATACGAAGTTCCCTTCCACGTACTTGCTTTCCTGTGTGTTCGATTCCGTTGGTAATTGGCTTAATATAACACCACCAACAACGATAGATATGGAGGGAAAAATCTACCAGATAAATTGAATCTTTTCACTCTCTCCCTTCACCCTCTTCCTCCTCTCCTACTAAGAAAAAACGGCAATACTAAAGCTAGAAATAGAGATCCTAATATTTTAGTACTGATATTAATACTACTAATAATAACGACAAATAAGGGAAAGAATAATCAATAAAAAAACATCTTCACACACTTCAACCCTCTCCATCAATACTAAATACAAGAAAGATACCATTACTACAGTACTGGTATTACTAATGATACCTACAAATACCGGAAAAAAATATAATCCATATTTGCACACTCCCTTCACCCTCTCCCTCCCCTCTTACCGAAAAAAACAACAATACTAAAACAAAAAATGAATGTCATTACTACAGTACTGATATTACCGACAAATAAAGGGAGAAAAAGGTGATAAAAATTCCCTCTTTTCCCACTCCCTTCACCGTCTCCTTCTGCTCCTCCTCCCGCAGGCGCATTCCTCATCCCCTACTTCGTGATGCTGACCTTCCTGGGGCTGCCGCTCTTCTACCTGGAGCTGGCGGTGGGTCAGCGCATCCGGAAGGGGGCGCTGGGGGCGTGGCACCAGGTGTCACACTGCCTCGGGGGCGTGGGCGTGGCTTCGGCCGTCGTGTCCTTCGCCGTGGCGCTCTACTACAACACTGTCATCGCCTGGTGTCTCTACTATCTCTTCCAGGTAGGTCTTTATAAATATTGTTTTTGTTTTTATTTTTTTATTTTTATTTATTTTTTGTTTTATTTATTTATTTTATTATTATTTTTTTTTATATATTAATTTTTATTTTTTATTTTTTTTTTTAGATCTGCCGTTTTAATTTTTTTCGTGTATTTAATCTGTTTGTTTTGTTTATGTTTTTTTTTTTTTTTACTGTCTGGTTTATTTCCGTCTTAATTGTTTATTTGTTGATTTTATTTTTTCCATTGTTGATTTTTCACTGTTGTTTTTTCTAACTTGGAATATAGATGTAGTCTGGATGAATATATGCATTTCAGATTTGATGATGATGCTAAGAATAACCACACAAACACGTACATACACACGGCGTGCGTGCACATAAATATGCATATGTATATATTTGTGTATATTTGTATATTTATGCATATGCATATATATATATATATATATATATATATATTATATATATATATATATATATATATATATATATATATATATATATACATATATATATATATATATTATATAATATATATATATATATTATACATACATACATTACATACATACATACATACATACATACATACATACATACATACATACATATACATACATACATACATATATACATATATACATTAAACATATATATATATATATATATATAATATATATATATATATGTATATATATAAATAGATATATATATATATATATATGTATATATATATATATATATATATATATATATATATATATATATATATATATATATATATATATATATATATATATATATATATATATATATATATATATGTATATATATATATATATATATATATATATATATATATATATATATATATATATATATATATATATATATATATATATATATATATATATATATATATATATATATATATATATATATATATATATATATATATATATATATGTATATATATAATACATATATATTATATATTATATATATATATATATATATTATATATATATATATATATATATATATATATATATATATATATATATATATATATATTATATATATATATATACATATATATATATATATATATATAATATATATAATATATATATATATATATATATATACACACCACACACCACACTCACACTCACACTCACACACACTCACACTCACACTCACACACACACTCACACTCACTCACACACACACACACACACACACACACACACACACACACACACACACACACACACCACATATATATATATATATATATATATAATATATTATATATATATATATATATATATACCACACACACACATACATTACATATAAAATCCCGTTGGTCCCAGAGCTTCCAGTCGCCGCTGCCGTGGTCCGACTGCCCGCACGCCATCGGGGTCGTGGACACAAGCCACCACCAGCCTCGGCCAGGAGTGCGAGCGCGCGGGGCCGACGCAGTTCTTCTGGTACCGGGACGCCCTGGACATCACCTCCGACGTCATGCACGTTGGGGAATTCAACTGGAAGATCGCCGGGTGCATGGCGATCGCATGGCTCCTCATCTATGTGTGCATCATGAAGGGCATCGTTGCTTCGGGCAAGGTGAGGGGGTAGGGAGAGAAGAGAGACAGAGGGGAGGAGGAGGAGGGAAGACAGAGGACGAGAGGGAGAGGGAGAGGGAGAGGAGAGAGAGAGAGAGAGAGAGAGAGAGAGAGAGAGAGAGAGAGAGAGAGAGAGAGAGAGAGAGAGAGAGAGAGAGAGAGAGAGGAGAGAGAGAGAGAGGGAGAGGGAGAGAGAGAGAGAGAGAGGAGAGAGAGAGAGAGAGAGAGGAGAGAGAGGAGAGAGAGAGAGAAGGAGAGAGAGAGAAAGAGAAACAAAGACAGATAAACAGGCAGAGAAAATGGAAAGGAGAAGATAGAAAAACAAAAATAGAAAAAGATAGACATACAGACAAAATACAGAAGAAAATGGGGTGAAGAGAGAGAGAGAGAGATAAAGAGAGTAGGAGAGAAGAGAGAGATAAAGAGAGTAGGAGGGGAGCGAGAGAGAGAAATAGAGTAGGATAGGAGAGAGAGAGATAAAGAGAGTAGGAGAGACAGATAGCAGATCAAAAAACAGAATTATGGAACAAGCTCAGAGTAGAAAATCAAACTCTGTTAGGAGTAACACAAGGAAATAAATAAAAGAAAAATAACGGCCTATAATTAACGTCTTCCTAATTGAACACGGCGTTGTGTTAAGCCAATTACCAGCGAAATCGAACACATAGGAAGGGTAAGTAGGAAAATGGGAAATTAGTCTGTCTGCTCCAATTTCCGAAGTTTAGGGAGAAAAAAAAAGTTATTGTGAACGCAGTTATGTTAGTCTGGAAATACTGGAAAAAGTCTTGAAAACACACATTTAATACTAGCTTACATTCCGCATGTTGTATGTTGTTATCATTATCATATTTTGCATTTATTAAAGCCGTTTACGTTGATTAATGCGAAAGGTATATCACCTTTTATCTCTCTAAGGTGATCATTTGGTTATTTGTAGAAATATTTCCCCATGCGATACTAAATACAAAGAACGGAAAGTTAATATGTACTTGCCAGACGTTAATAATCAACAAAGTCCTTCAAGATAAAGGACAACTCATCTCTTTTGTCCCTTTGTGGCTTTTTCCTCTTGATTAAAGGTGAAAATCGTCTTTATTTTTTCGTAATAGGATTAAAAGGGATTCTTTTCGAAACAGGATTAATAGTGAATATCCATTTTTTTCGAAACAGGATTAAAAGGGAAAATCCCTTTTTCGTAACAGAACTGAAAGTGAAAATCCACTTTACTTTTCATAACGGAATTAAAAGTGAAAATCCTCGTTTTTTCGTAACATGATCAAAGTCAAAGCAAGACTAAAAGTCAAAATCCTTTATATTTTTCGTAACATAATTAAAAGTGACAATCCTCCATTTTCATAACAGGATTAAAAGTGAAAATATCCTTTACGTAACAGAACCCAAAGTTAAAATCCTCTCTATCTTTCGTAACAAGATTAAAAGTGAAAATCCTCTTTTTCGTAGCAGGATTAAAGTTGAAAATCTTTCTCGAACATGAAGAAAAAAAAACATTTCATTTTAACAGAAAAGTGAAAATCCTCTTCTTCCTTCATTCCAGGTGGTGTACGTGACAGCCGTGTTCCCGTACCTGGTGTTGCTGGCGTTCCTGGTTCGGGGGCTGACACTGAGGGGCATGACTGACGGCATCACCCACCTCTTCACGCCCAGGGTATGTCAGGCCTCTTCGGAGTTAGTAATATAATCGTTTTTTTTTTTGTCAATAAAATTCACTCGTGTAATTTTCACAATAATTATTCGTGTATCATCAAGTTTTCATTTTTCATGCATATTCAGGAATTATTAATTCATGTACATTCATCAGCCTTTATCAATTCATGGATATGCGTCAACTGTTATTCATTTATGTATATCCACCATATCCATCGCCAAATATTACTAATTTATGTACATTTGCCAACAATTATTAATCCATGTACGTTCGTAAACAACTATTAATTCCTGTACGTCATTCATTCATTCATTAGATAGTCGTCAAAAATCATTCATTCAGTGTTGACAAAAGCACAAGTACATGCGTGTGAAAGGCAACATAACTGTTACATACAAATGGTTAACATAGAAGCTTTGACCTTTCTCTAGAAATTACATTACCAAAAAAATACTAAGGCATATTTTGCCCCCAATTAAATTCAAGATTGAGTAAATATCAACATATATGAAGCTCATGTTTTCATGCAACATCAAAAATGTTTTTCAGCCCACGCGTTTTAAACCTTCCTCGCCTTCTTAATTGGAATAACGATTTTCCTATAATCAATGTTGCAGAAAATTGGAAGTGAGGCGCAAATGCTAATAGTGTTGGATCTTTTTCGTTCATCTATTTTGTAGACTATTTTCTGTGGAAATCATTTCGAGAAGATTTAGAAAATAAATCTTATATTATTGAATTGTTAGTAAAATACCTTACTATCACAGATATATCAATAACGCAACATATATTAAAATAATATGATAGCAAAATGTCAGTGATAAAATATCAATAACAGAATCATACAAAAATCATACAACGCAATAACAACGAAAACGCAAAACCAACAGCAATATCCAAGAGCAACAAACCCCGCCCCCGCCCCGTTGCTAGTGAGGCCCACTTCATATACCAGCAAAAAAACGAAAAGTGTCCTGACTATTTTGCTCTTTAGGAACAAATCTGCTCAAGATAGTTCTGTTTTTATTTCAGCATACACTAAATATATATCGTTTTGACTATTGTCTGAAACTTTCAATAAAATATATCCACGAGAACATGTATTTAATTGCGTTTTGATTATGCCATTTTTCACACTTCTGTCTTACCGGGCTGATGACATCAGGTGGCAAGGGCGCGCCTCGTGGTCAGTCGAGTAACCCTGTGAATGAGGGATAAAACCTGCCATTTCATTGGCTTTGTGTGTGGGCGTTTCAAAATTTTAGCCAATGAAATTTGTTTTTTCTAATTGGTCATGGGTCTGGTGATCAGACCCGAGTCGCGCTTCGAATGCTTCAGTCGCGTTTAGAAATGGGTAAGTAAAACTTGAATACTGTCGAAGTCCGTGCGAGTGTCACAGAGCGCGATGAACAGTTGTTATAATACATACTCAAGATCATTTGGACCGAATTCCAGTAAGAAATATTGAGATTCCACGCCAAACATTTGATTGAAAAGTGTCGGCCCCCGTCCGAGAGAGAATGCTTATCATATCCAAGATGGCGGCGCCCATGACCCGTTTGTTTACACTCGCACACCGAACGATCACTCCCTTGTTGCTGCTAAATATCTGAGGAATCGTGTGACTTACTGTCAGTTTCTGACATAAATGCTTAGTATTTGTATTGTTTGAATATATGTAGTAGGTTTCCCGAATTTTTTTGTTTTGGTTCAAGTGAAATTCGATGAAATTAATCGTCTGTCAATCCTATGTATTGGCTGTGTATATTAGCTGTACATTGCTAGTGTACATTATTTTATATATTGATGTTTGATGCCCTTTGATTTTTTAAAAAGATATCTTCAATCAAATTGATGTCTAAATATCCTTCAGCAGCAAATCACATCAGCTGCGAATCACATCATATGGGCATGTGACACATGCCCATACTGGCATTTGGGCCTTCCTATTACCATTCTGCAAAAACAGGCCTGAAATGTGGTTTTTAACACCCAAAGCGCATTTTCTGTAAAAAATCGAACCATTTTCTTGAATTTTTCTGATTTTGGGTTTGGACACTGGACTTAAAGATTTTTTTGGAATCTACTGAAAATCTCACTTTGAGCCATTTTCAGGGACTGATATCTCGCCAACTAAGTATCCCAGGAACCTGAAATTTTCAGGATGTGTTAACAGTATCCCTGGCAGCATGCCAGGGATGGGTAGTCCATTATCTACAGTTTTATGATGCTTCAAAAACCCCTCCAGAAACAAGAAACCCCATATTCATGGTGGGCCTCACTACGGTAGCGTTCTCGTCTACCAATCTTGCTGACCCACGTTCAATCCCGCGCGCTGCCTGTGAGCGGTAACCCCGGCCATTCCTCGCGCACAGGGGTTAATTCAGAAGCAAATAAACAGCCAGCATGTCACAGCAAAAGGAATTTTCATTATAACAAATAAAATTCAACTAACCTAACCCACCCGTTCGTCCCCAGTGGGAGAAGCTCGAGGACCCGGTGGTGTGGCTGGAGGCGGGCACCCAGATCTTCTTCTCCCTCGGCCTCGCCTTCGGGGGGCTCATCGCCTTCGGATCCTACAACCCCGTGAACAACAACTGCCTCAGGGACGCCATCCTCGTCTCCTTCACCAACTGCATCACCTCGCTCCTGGCCGGCGTCGTCGTCTTCTCCATCTTGGGTCAGGAAACGATTCTGGCTTTCCTTTATTCATTTACTTTTTTCTTTATCTTTTTTCTTCTCTTTTCTCTTTTTTTCTTTTTTACTCTTATCTATATTGCTATTGTTTTTATTTTATTTTTCTTCTCTTTGTCTTTTTTTTCTTCATTCATTTTTTTCTTTACATCGCTCTCTCTATTTGGTTATCTATTTATCAGCTTGTCTCTGGCTTCTTATCTGTCTATATATATATATATAATATATAATATTATATATATATATATATATATATATAATATAATATATATATATATACATATACATATACATATATATATATATATATATATATATATATATATATATATATATATATATATGTCTGTTTATTTATATCTAGTTGATATCCATTAATCCATCGATTGATTGATTTATTGACTGAAAATTCATCCATCCGCCAGCCATCAATCCCGCCATCCCTCCCTCCCTCCCTCCCTCTCTCCATCCATCCACCCGTGCATACGTGCGTGTTCATGCGTAAATAGCTAGCTAAAACTTGAAAAAAATAGCAATAACCACATGATCGAAAACCTTCCCCAGGCTTCAAGGCCCACGAGACCCACGACCGGTGCATGGCCGAGCGCAACGCCACGACCCTGGCGCTGCTGACGGAGGCTGGCGACGCGGCGGAGAGGATCGACCTGCAGGAGCTGCTCAGGAGGAGGAACATCACCCTGCCCGTGTGCGACATCCAGGAGGAGCTGCAGAAGGTGAGGAAGGGGCAGCGTAGGAGAAGAAGTTGGGGAAAAGTTGTTCATTTTCATCCATATTTTTTTTTTTTTTTTTTTTTTTCTTTACGTCACAGTGAGCATTGTCCAAATAATTCGAAGAGAGGGAAACCCAGCCCATGGCCCACAAAAAACTCACCGGAAAAAAACATCTAGTCATACATAACCAATCATGCCCTCCAAAAATAATACGAACTCAAAAAATGAAAAGGAAAGAAAAATATAGATTCAGATTCAGCTACAATAAAACAGTTGAAAATGACCAAAGCCCTAACCAAATTCCTGATTAAACCCTTTCCAACCCTGCTAACCCCAAAATCCAAACAAAAAACTTTTTAATTAACACCTTTCGATCCAAGCCCAAAGCAAGTCCCTCAATCAACTTTTTCCAAAACTCAAACCGAGTTCCTAATCAAACTCCTTCCATCCCAGAATTCATATCAAGCCCATGAGTTAACCCTTCCAACCCAGAACTCAAACCAAACCCCTGAGTTAACCTTTCTAATCAAGATCTCATACCCAGCTCTTAATTCAACCCCTTCCAACCCAAAACGCAAAACGACCCCTCAGCCAACCTTTCCAACCCAGAACCAAACCAAACCCTTTCCAACCCAGAACTCAAACCAAGCCCTTGAGTTACCCTTCAGCCAACCCTTTCCAACCCAGAACTCAACCAAGCCCTTGAGCTTCAACCCAAAACGCAAAACAACCCCCCCAGTCAACCCTTTCCAACTAAACGCAAAACGACCCCCTCAGCCAGCCTTTCCAACCCAGACCTAACATCTTCTTCCCCGCCCACCAGTCCGCCGCGGGAACGGGTCTGGCCTTCATCATATTCACGGAGGCTATCAACCAGTTCCCTCTGCCTCCCCTGTGGGCCATCCTCTTCTTCCTGATGCTGTTCACCCTCGGGGCGGACTCCCAGTTCGGCACGTTGGAGGGCGTCATCTCCTCGCTCATCGACCTCAAGGTGTTCCCGCAGATGAGGAAGGAGGCGCTGTCAGGTGAGAAGAGTAGGGAGTTAAAAGCTTTTTTTTAGGCGTAGGTGATTTCTTCTCTGGGTCTCATATTTTTGTATATATACTTTTCTCTCACTTCCGCACTTCTATCTCTATCTATCTCTCTCTATCTCTATCTCTATCTCTATCTCGCTCCTCTTTCTCTCTCTTCTTCTCTCTCTCTCTCTCTCTCTCTCTCTCTCTCTCTCTCTCTCTCTCTCTCTCTCTCTCTCTCTCTCTCTCTCTCTCTCTCCCCCCCCCCCACTAAATTTACAAAGTACAAAAGGTACGGTATGCACCTTTTGTATTTCATTGTAAATCTCTCACCCAAATGCAAACTCCAGCTCACCCAAGCACTAACCCCAATCCCCTTCTACAGGATTGGTGTGTCTCGTCTGCTTCTTCCTGTCCCTCATGTTCACCCACGGCGCCGGGAACTACATCTTCCAGCTGTTCGATTCCTTCGCTGGCAACATTCCTCTGCTGGTGATTGGGCTGTTTGAGTGCCTCGGCATCAGCTACATCTACGGAATCAAGAAGTAGGTTTTAGTGGGTGTAGGAAATGAGGGCGGTCGTGTATGTGTGTGTGGGTAAGATGATAGAAATTGCGGGTGGGAGGTAGAGAGGTTGAGAGGGAGGGAGTGCGTGTGGGTAGAGAGAGTGAAAGGGAGTAGGTCTGGTAGGAAAGTAGAAAGGTAATGGTGCGTATGGACTAAAAAAAAAAGTAAAGGAGTGTAAGCAGAAAGTTTGTGAAAGGGCCGGGACGCGCACTGATAGTGGGCAAAAAGGGGCAGATGAGTGAAACCGGGGTGTATAGGGAATGGAGCAAAGCCTAGGTCGACGTACTCCAATTCTAGGAGACAGAGAGAAGTATAATGTGTGTAGAACTGAAATGAGGGAGTGGTTATGTGAGAAGTTATTTAGCGAGATTATCTCGTGTGTGTTACTACGCGTGTGATGTCCTGTGGTCTCAGTTAGACTCGATGGTAGTTGGTCACTGTTTGTATCGTCGTGTGCTACTAATGGTGTGGGCTGTCCCGCAATATTGTCCGTGTGACCGCGTACTACTCGAGCCAAGTCTTCCTGACCTGGTCTCTGTGTTGGCTAGGATGTTCATCAGCCTGATTGGCTGGTCTATTGGCACATCATGGTAGTAACATAGCAACTACGCGTGCTTAGTGCATTCTCTTAATCCATAGTGCAACTATAGTTCTTCCGTTACCGTCTCTCCAGATCCGGCAAGGCTTCTGAGTCTAATCGCGCGATCCCACGTGTCCGACTATTCCGCGTACCATTCCATGGCAAGCCTTTGTACTTACGGCCGCCTCACGAGCCAACGACTGTTGCACTAGGCTCCCTCTGATCGACCCTGCCTAGACCTCGGATGATCTGCCTCAGCTCCATGACAGCTTCGTTGTCCCAGTCCACATGCCCCGTCTCCCGTCATCATAGCTCTCTCTTCCTCTCTTATCGTGGTAGTGCAATTTTATTACGCAGACACCAGGACCCTAGGGTCATGTCCCGCTATACTTGCCGTGCAAGTGCATCTAGTTGCCGAGCATGCTCCGCACTATCTTTGAGGAACGGCGCGTCTAGCGAAGGTCGACTGTGTCACGGCTTTAATCGCTCTCCACAAGTCTGAGGTCTCTTGCTTATATTTATACGTTGGCCTAAGTTATACGCGCATGTTTTATTTTATAACCTCTGTCCGTTTAGCTCCATTAGGAGCTCTCTGAGTATGACTCGGCACATTGTACACAGATGGGTTTCTCCTCGATCTAAACATACACTCTGGATCTTTAACTCAACGTTCCTTATCGTAATGTAATACATTTTAGATTGTCGATATGGTATAGTATACCATTTTTTTAGTCTCTCACGCTCAACTACGCTCAGAAGCTCAGATTTTCATGGGAAACCGGACTAACCGAACCCAACACCGGGCGCTGCTCGTGCCTATAGTCGAGTTTTCCTTTATTAATCCTGCACGCAATCCTCGAAACAGGATTCTGCCCACTCCATGATAGTTATTCCCCCGTCCCCTATAAAGTTCGTAGGTTTCACTTATACGCCGGATGATTACGTTAATGAATTTCGCTCCTATACTACTTTACTCAGCCCCACGCAGACTCCACGTCAGTTCCACCATATCATTGTTAATCTCGAATCTACCTTTTTTATTTCGTATTTTCCTGGAGTATCCGCAGTGCAGGGAAGTAGTTATTTTACACTAGAGACGGCACCTCCGCTTCTCTTTTATTCAACTTCTGTCGTGAGAATTTGATTACTCTGATCTCTCGCTGATCATTCTCCAGTTTCTCTCTCCGCGCTCATAGTATCCTACGTGATCCCCGGCAATAGTTTTCGCTTGGCTTCCCTCGTATGTCAGGCCGCCACTAGGACGCGGGACTGTTCCAACGAGCGCCATGGCGCGTATGCGTGGCTCCACCCGGGCGTCCCCCTACTTTGAAACGATTGATCCTCGGCTGCTCATGACTTAGATGCCTATACCCAATACTCCATGACGGATGGCTCTCCTCTGCCTCTCGAACGTCTCCGAGCCCGCGTCCGGTTCTACTCTATCAATAACCAAGACTCTGGTTGTCATTCCTCATTTCACTCCCACTTGATCGAGTGCTCTCTTCTTGCCTCCGACTCAGTGCAACCTCCCCACCTCAAGCGAATAAAGAGCCGCCACCCCCTCGATTCAGCTCTTTGCTCTGCTGTTATTGGAAGCAGCTTCCGGATGATACTTCATGCTGAGGTGCTCAAACGTTTGTCATCAGGCCCGACCGTCTGCAGAAGCACCTGGATCCGGTTTGAGATTATCCGCCAGCCTCCTTCTCATGGCCTGCGTACACCAACTCTGGCGGCCATGCCTGCCTTGTCACTCACTCACACAGGTCATCACTCTGTGCGTAGAGGTGCTCCAGCAGCAGCCACCTATAACTTATGCGGTAGTAAAGCCACGAAAGAGAAGTGATGTACAGAGAGTTGGGGGATCATTAACTATTGTGTCTGTTACATGCAACCTAAGAAGCTCTGCGCAGAAAGGGCGGGAAATAGTGACCGCTAAAAATTCAATAGGAAGAGAGAGATAGTGCCAGGGGCCGCACGGCGGGAAGGTCGTCTACTCCAGCGTACCTAGGGGAGGAAAAAGATGAACAGGTTTAACTAACTCATAACGATCATCACAAAGGAATATAAAAGGAGAAGGAGACAAAATTCAGGAAGAGAAAATCAAACCCTCCCTCTTCCTACTTTTAACAGGAGATTCCCAAGGGGTCATTCAAAAAAATGTCATCTATTTGTTCTCACAACCCTATTTCGTATATGTTGTTCGCTACTCCTCCTCTCACTGACGCCATCTCTTTCTGTTCTCTCCTCCCTCTCTCTCCTCTCTTACCTCTTCCTCTTTCATTGCTCAATCCGGTCTTCGTCGACTCCTTACCTAAGTAGCTTCGGATTTTATTCCTCTCTCTTTTCTCTCCACTCTTCTTTTCTGTGCCTCTTCCCTCTCTCCTCTCGTCGCCTCCTCGTCTTCCTCCCTCCTCCCTTCTCGCGCCTCCCCTCGTCTCAGCTCCCTTCCTCCCTCCCTTGACGGTTGGCCTCCCCTCCCTCTCCTCCCTCCCCTCCTCTCCTCTCCCTATCCTCCCTCCCTCCCCTCCCTTCCCTCCCCCCTCCCTCCCTCCCTCCCTCTCCGCTCTCTCTCTTTTCCCCTACATGAATTGCATATTTGCCTTTAGACTAATTTATTTTAAGGCCTGGGATTCGGTCATGGGCGAGAGTGTAAACCTTCAGTGGCCGAGCTGGGCGTGGGGCATCGCCGCCATCTTGGTGATTCTGCCCCTGATGTGGATCCCTCTGGTGCCCATCGCGAAGTAAGTGGGCGGCCTTTGAGTGGGGGTTTTCTTTTATCTGGTATGCTAGCGTGTTTTGTTGTGTGCTAGTGTATTTTGTATAGTATACGACGTATTATCTCTAGTATGTTGGCGTATTATTTTAATAGAGTGTTTGTTTAGTATGTCAGTGTTTTGTCTATTACGTCAGTTTTGGTCTAGTGTTTATCAGTGTATTTTTTTTTTTTCTATTAAATTCCGAACTATTTTGTCTAGTATGCTAATTTCCACATGTAAGAGAGAGAGGACGATGAAAAAACTAAATTTCCTTTTACACTTCTCATTTTTGCTCTTTTTCAACAAATACGAAATCATGATTACAACTTAGAGAGAACTCACCCCTTCTGCAGCGCCCTCGGATTCCGCCTGCTGGCCGAGGAGGAGGCGGCCTGGTTCCCGGAGAAGGAGCTGAGGAGCGCCCAGGACATCACGCCACAGCGGTTCACGGCACTCGAGCGGGCCCTTCTGTGTCTGTCTGTGTCTACGGAATCTCTCAAGGCAAGTATGGCGTTCGTGTAAATGGCGATGTGAACTTCCTCTTTTTCGTTTTCCGAAGTTAGCTCGCCTCTCTAGTTCTGAGTAGCTTTGTATCTTTGTATCACGATGAAGAAAATCAATAGACCACAACTGATTTTGTCGGATAATACCCGTAATTTTTATGAACTACAGATTTCAGTACCACGAAACCTTTTTATTTCCCTACAATACATACAGACGCTATGATTAATGACAGAACGATTATGAGAGAATTTCACTAAACGACAGAATCATCGCAGTTTCAACACGTACAGCTTTTCCCCTAAGACATATCCTTCCCGATCCTTCCAGTCGACGGACGAGGACCAGCCTGTGAAGACCCTGCCCTCCCAGAACTCCCACCAGCCTCTACTCGCACAGGACTCCAAGAAGTCCCAGAGGACCCAGTCCGTCAAGTCCAGCAAATCGTTGGGCGGCGGCGGAGGAGGAGGAGGGGGCAGGACCAAGCCAGGTGACACGCCCCCTCACTCCTCCCTCAAGGACGGCCACCTGAAGGGCGACGGAGGCAAGCCACTCCCTCGAGGCAGAAGCGAGGACCGGGCCGCCAAGAGGAAGGACAAGGTGGAGAAAAACAACAGGAATAGCATGTAGGAAACGGAGCAATAACGCTGTGAGGTTGTTAGTTACTTGGTTCGCGGTTGAACCTCATTCTCTCGGGGTTTTGCGAGCTTCCGCTGGCCCCTGAGGGACTGGCGTGATTGTGACTTTGATGTGGCTTTCCCTTGGTTTTGGATTCCTAGATGCAGACGTACCTCCTGTCCGCGTGCGTGTATGTGTGTGTGTGTGTGTGTGTGTGTGTGTTTGATGTCTATGCATGTGCACACGAATGCTAGAATATAGAGGCATCCGTGTGTGCATATAGGCTTTGTATTTTTGTTCATGCATAGGCATTTGTCAGAGAAAGAAAGACAGAGAGAGAGAGAGAGCGTTTCATCGAGAGAAAGATCATCCCTGCATGCCTGTGCAAAATGTTCACCGACCTGTGTCCTTTGTTCTTTGCTGTGGTATTGAAATGGAGTAATCGTTAACCGCATCTTCAACTGAGCTGCATCGACATGGTGTGATAAAAATGGGAAGAATTAAGTAGTCTGTAGTCGATAATTCCCTGTTCATTTTATATTTTGTGGATATTTAGATTTTTATTTTTCATCCTTTTGTCGTCTGAAGATCCCCAGTGAAGAGCTTGTTCATGGCAATACAGAGAGAAAACAATGTTTTCATTGCTGTTCTTTGAATAAGGTTAGAAGCCTAGGAATAATACCATAGCGGAGTCTATTTTTGTGACGTTGTTGTGCATGTAGTGTATAGAGAGAGAAGAGAGTGAGAAAGATAAGAAGACAGAAAAATGCGAAAATAACGTCTTCACACTCCTCTTTCTCATGTCGTGTACGTCTATTATTTGTGTTTTTTTTTTTTTTTTTTTTTTTTTTGAGTCGCCAGTTACCGTGCAATGCGTCCTAAATAAAGTGTCTAGGAGCGGTTCAAGAGCTTCTTCGGTGTGCGCGCGCTGCCAGGCGCGAGGGAAAACATATCACTATTTTGCTACTTGTCCTTCAGCGTTTGTTGACTTCTTTGTATGCTTTGCCGTCTGTTGTTGTGCCCCCATATATATATAAATATATATATATATATATATATATATATATATATATATATATATATATATATATATATATATATATATATATATACATCTGTACATATATACATATATATACACATAAATATAATATATGCATATATATGTATGTATATATATACACACACATACACACATATGCACACACACATACCACATATACACACATACACACACACACACACACACACACACACACACACACACACACACACACACACACACACACACACACACACACACACACACACACACACACACACACACACACACACACACACACACACACACACACACACACACATATATATATATATATATATATATATATATATATATATATATCCATCGATTGATTTATTCATTTTCTGTACATATATTTTTATATATTATGTCAATGCATCTTGCCCTTTACCGTTCTTTACATCCGAATCACCGTAAGCGAACGATTAGGTATGATCAGAATTTAAAGATGTTTTCAGAATGATCTGTTAGCAGTGACGTCATTCTGTTTACGCTTTTTATTAGAGGGGAGTGGATGAGGGAGTGCAAATGCATATATATACACGTTAGATGTCTGTGTTTTAGAAGTGGTCTTGTGAGATCGTGTGCGTGTTCGTGCTTATTAAGGTCGATTTTTTGTCGTATCGTTTTCATGTTTGTCTTTTCTCTCTGTCTTAGGAGTGCATGCGCGTTTCACTTCACACACACACACACACACACACACACACACACACACACACACACACACACACACACACACACACACACACACACACACACACACACACACACACACACACGGAAGTACGCGCACAAACACACACACACGCACGCACACATACAAAGCATACATACATGCAAGCATAGAAGCACAAATTCGCACTCACAAGCACACAAAGACGCATATATGCATACAAATCTAAGCGTACATGCACACATACACGCAGACACGAGAAATAATTAAAAAACAATAGATAAATAGATAATATGAATTAATTAACAGACGATTGAGGACGCAGGGAGAGAAACGAAAACACTTGAAAATATACGTAAGAAAATCGACTTGATCGACGTGTCCGATTTAGTTGCTTAACTTTAATCAAATTCTCATTGGGATGTCGATGTCGTATTTTTTTTTTTTTTTTAGAAGAAAGGGAAAGTGCGAACTGAAAAAAATATTTTTTTATATACTGTCCATAAGACTCAAAATTCTTACCGCTATACCAGACCGTTAAATTTGATAGTATGGTTTACTGAATAGTGTAATATAATGTAAAATCTCAGTATTTCTAATAGGTGTCCCGAACAGAGGAAGATAATGACAAAACTTTAGAGTGTATGTGTCGCTTGAAAGGATGTTTATGTGAATTTGAATGTGTTTTAATGCATAATATGTGCTCCTCCATTAATATATGATCACTTGGTCTTCCATTTACGATTATATATAGACACAAGAGGAAAAAAACGGAGAGTTAAAAAGAAAAAGTGAAAGAAACACCAATTTCATTCGACGTCTTCCACGGTTAGTCTCGGTCCGGAACTCAACAACGTATAAAGCCTTTTGAATATCAAGCGATTTTGAATTCCAGGAAATCCCGGTGTATTTCCGGTTGGTTTTCCTTGGCATTATTTTCCTACCTGAAGCTGAAGGGAATTGATCTTCCTTTAGTCAGACCAGTGGTTCCCAGCCCCCTTTTTTACACTCATGATCCCTTTTCCAAAATTTCGACATAACCTCGACCCTCCGACATAAATTTCTAGTTGTATAATTTTAAGAGGAAATAGTAAGGAGAAAAAAAGACAATCTTTATTTCCCCAATTATACTACTATATCCCTTGAAGACCTACTTTCATACTATATACTTAATATGAGCACTGAAATAGACATAGTAAAGTGAGATACAATATTCCCTAAAGCTTCGCGACTCCCCGGTTGGGAACCACTGATACAGTTGGAAATTAATGTACTCGTATTCTTGTTGACAAATACAGAAAAAAGTATGAATGAGAATGAATATCTTCACACTACAAGAGATGTATTTGACCGGTTTTGAATGTATCTTCGTCAGAAATAAATGTATATCTAACGAAGATAAACCGGCTAAATACATTTCTTGTATTATGAAGATATTCGTTCTCAGTCATACCTTTTCTACATGGAAATTATTCCCACAGATGACAGCATAAGCAACACGACAAGGCGAGGATCTCTATTTTCATTGTTATTATTTTTATATTCGTTGTTGTTATCGTACTGCTCTTATTATGATTATCATCATTACTAAATGATTATTATTATATTTTGTTATTATTATTATCATTAATATTATCATTATTATTATCATCACCGCTATCATTATTATCATTGTTATTTTATCAATTATTATTGTTATTACTGACACATCATTATTGATTATTATTATCGTTATTATTAACACCGTTACTATTATTATTATTATTATTATTATTATTATTATTATAATCATCATCGTTACTGGTGTTGTTGATATTGTTACTAATAATGCTGTTAGTATTACACACTAGTATTGTCATTGTTATCATCACTATTTACATTGTAGTTATCTTTGTTATCATTAATATTAATATCATTCTTGTTATTTATTATTATTGCTGTTGTTGTTATTATTATTTTAGCATGATTATCATCATCATTCACATTCACATTATCATTATCATTGCTTTTATTATCATTATTATTATTATTACTGTCATTACTATTATCATTGTCATTATCAATGTTGTCATCATTATTACTGTTGTCAATATTATTATTATTATTATTATCATTATCGTGATTATTATTATCATTGTTAGCATTATTATGCTGCATGTTGCACCGCTAAAACTCCAACTGACACTGTCCAAAGTTACTCGACTTTCGTATTTCATGAAAATCTAATAAGGAAAACTATTAACATTGGTCTAATCAGATACGTTACAATCACATAGAGAACAAGTAAGTTTTTTCCTTATAAATTAAAAACCTATATAGATGCAGTATCTATATTTCCAGTGGGATCCTATCCCATTCACTGATCCAGCTGAGAGGAGTTGAACAGTCTAAATACTGATGACGGTAATAGTCCTTCCAAAGGTGGTTGAAAACTAATGTAGGGACGTTGTTTACTGTCACCTCGCGTAACCGAAAATAATACGCTTTTTCTCTGACATAGCAAAGTGAGTAATACCTGAAAGATACTGAATTCGAATGGTGGTCGCTTAGCCGAAATAACTACTTATTCAGGCAAAGTGATCAACCGTCTGAAATGTAACTTGAACGATGTATCATAATGCCTTTCGTGTGCATATTCCAACTACGAGACTCCAGCGTAAAGGAGTATAATCTCTGATGTCTTCTGTGCCGAGAAAGAACTAATAATAACAAGCCATATAAGTCCTATCACACCGGGCATAAAGACAAATGCTGGACACATATACTAGACATGTATTTTTTTCTTCTTCCAACAAATAACTTTCATTAATTATACTCTGCTAATACAAATAATAGGAACATTAGTTTCCTTAGTTGCCATGGTTATATTATTCTATGTCAGCCCAGAAAAGCACCAGACTATGAATCTTGTAAATGTTAATATCTGTATCATTACTGTTATCATTTTTACCATAATTATCATTATTACTATTATTATTATTATCAATATTATTATTATTATATTATTTATTATATATATTATCATTATCAATATGATCATTATTATTATTGTAGGCAATTTTGGTAGCATTAAATGTTATGGTTTTATCATCTTCGCCATTGTTTATATATATTCATAATTATCATTATTAGCAGTATTTTTAATAGTGAAATTATATAGTATTACTATAATCATTGTAGACGTCGCTTTCACTGGTATTATTATGACTTTTTCTTACTTTTGTTCCTATCATAAGTCCCCTATATATATATATATATATATATATATATATATATATAATATATATATATATATATATATATATATATATATATATATATATATATATATATATATATATATATATATATATATATATATATATATATATAAACCATCTGGGACGATTTTTTCCTTACTGTATTTTGCGCTAATTGAACGACGTGTCATGTATAAAACCACAATATTTACGACCAAAAAGCCAAGTGCATCCACCGAAACGGACAAAACGTATAGATCTTCCATACAGAAACACCAATTTACGGTAATATGCTCTTCCACAGAAACTCCAGGATCTTGGAGTTCTCCCATTTATTACAATTAGCCAGAGGTTAGTGTTGAAATTTCGAGTCTTCCCCGTAACAGTTCTTCCAGATAAGGCCAGTTCGTAGTAACGAGTCACGTAGTTTTGGCATCTTTTGTGCGTTTGTACCTGTTCTGCGTGAAACAACGGAGTCAGAACACATGGTCTTCCAAGCCGACAGTTATGATCTTCCAAACCAACATTTAAATATCTTCCATTGTTATTCCACGTCCACAAAGAGTAGTCATGAGGTTAGTACTAGAAGGTCTTCCATTTAAACCCTCATCGATCCTTTTCCCGCGCGTAGAATTTTAGAATGGAACCGCGAATATTTGATTTTGGCGCCTGATTTTACCGAGAAGAAAGGCGTGTTCGGAGAGTTTGATCTTCGAATCAATCAAACAAATAAAATCTTTCCCGCGGTAAACTCTCGACCATCTTCGCTCTGGTCTGCAATCTGTTATCCACACAGAATTGACAAGAGTGGGTCAAGGCCAGTATGTTCCACTCATCCACAGGAATAATTGAGACCCTTTCCACTATGGCGAGGATGTATAGATTTATCCATGTGGTCTTTGAATTTACCATATATGACAACAACGGAGATAAAATACATGCTCTTCGTCTTGACAGTTTCAAATTTATCGGTGTGTTTGTTGGAATGTAAGAGACGAAACTATAGGAGTGAATATGCCTTTATCATCTAAGTGTAGGTGCAAAATTTTCATTTTACAAAATTAAAATCAAAGTGATTTCATAGGTATTTAGGTTCTGATATGTCAATGTCCGCACGTCTTCCTTACTGAAAAAGTGTGAAAGAATCAGTATAATCCACATGAACAAAAAAACACTATAATAAGTGTGTATGTATCTGCTGTTCAACTGATCCCCTTTACTAAAGTATGTCCTTCGAGCAAAGTTTTCTTTGAATGCTATTTTTCCGTTAAAGGAACCTTTGTTTATACTGTGATGCACATAATTCTTGATGATATATATAAGTCTTTAGTGTAAAAAAAAGTAAGAATATATTTTTAGGTTGTGAGAGAAGTGAGTTGTTCTATGTATTAGTTTAGCGGCCTCTGGATGGAAAATTGTGAGAAAGTCAAATATCACGATTTTTGTCATTTAGTGCCCCCGTCCTTGATTTATGATTATTTTCGAGAGGTACCTAAGCCATGAACTGTATTTTGGGAACAATATATTTTCCTTACTAAAATGCCTTTACCATCGCGTACTGCAATTAGCCTCTAAACTGACAAGAATAACTTCGTAAAATATGCCAGGATAATAGTCGTTGAATTCATGCATTGCAATTTATAGAATGCGAAAATGGTATTATTTACACACTTAATTTCGTAATGCTCACGATGTAACTCAAAATGTGAATCAAATATCTTGCATTGTCAAATTATTCGTTCCATTAAGACTATCGTTTTTCAACATTTGTCACAAGATCTGTAAAATATCGTCCATTATTTGACAGAGGCCGCTAATCCGATAAAGCAGCCATAAACAATATAATTTGAGGAGATAGAACATCGCGAAAAAAAAGTGTTAGAGACCAGTAAATGTTAAAATAGAAAATAAATATGTTGACTACTGTACAGCAGTCATCCATGTTTGTCAGTGTGCTGTTGCTGTGAACTAAATATTTGTGAACTATGGTGGTGTTTCTTTATCCTTTATCAACATGCTGCATTTGAATTGATGAAAATAAAAGAATAATACGGTGAAGAAGTACGAGCGTTATCTAGCTTTACTGTGTGCTTATTAAAACATTTATATACATAAACACCCGTTTTCTTCACTATTTTAGGTGAAATATTGCTGAATTAGATATAAGGTATTTCCTTATTTTTGACGTGTCCGGGGCGGGCGAATTTCCCACAAAAAGGATTTTAAAAAAAATGAAATTGGCAATTGTTTTAAAATAAGTATTTGACCACTTTCCTTGTTTTATTTTTACACATTTAAATATGAGGACGTTTCTCAGAAATGGATAAAGAAATATAAATGAAGTTAATGTACTCATAAAAGTGGTACAGTCACTGAATCGCACTGTACTTAAAATACAGAGGTCTATGTAAATTTGTCTTACTATAAACTGAAATCTCTTTACAACGAATGACATATTATTTGCTTCAAATGTATCAAAAACGAAGAGAAATCTAAATGGATTTATGATACTTGATGTAGATTGTGTGATGACATTAAATATTTCACTCTCAGAAAATAAACGTTTAAAAATCCTTTCATTTCATATAAAAAAATGAAACCTTTCCACGTACACACACATACACACACGAACACACACACACATACACAACACAATACACACAACACACACACACACACACATACTCTCTCTCTCTCTCTCTCTCTCTCTCTCTCTCTATATATATATATATATATATATATATATATATATATATATATCTTTCTTTCTCTCGCACACAGTCATACAAGCACACACACACAGACTCAACCAAGAGCCAGAAGCCGCTTCAAGTCCTCAGGAGACAAGCCAGTCCTGACGTCAGCAGAGGAGCCGGCTTTGCAGAAGAAAATCTCTCGACAATTTCCAAGACTGTCCTTCGTGTAGCACTCTCTGCATTCTGGGACGTCCAGGATGTTCTTTTCTGTACAGAAGGATGGAGCCAAGGATTAATTAGAGATAAACCATGAATGTCGTGCAGAAAAATGGTGAGAGATTAGTAAACACGGAATGATCTTGATATTTTTATATGATTATCAAGAATGAAAGAACCTTGACATGAAACATAAAACTATATTTAATGACTGTGGTGGCAAAGATACTCATGGTGGTTCATCCAACATAGCTGGTGAATAGGTCAACACGGCAGGTAGCAAATGTATATTTCCATAGGCCTCTTAACAACTGTTGCCTTGTTACACTTTAACACAATCTTTTGGTGTTCTCTGAAAATGTGATTACCATCAAATATATATATTTGTTTACACGTTATTGATTATAATCTAACAAATTGATTTAATTTAAAATGTCTCAACCCGGGAAGAAATGAAGGATTTTGCCATGACTGCACAAATATTCCTTGTCGATCCATTTCCTCGAATGACAGAATTAAAGGTGGATTCGGTACTTCGGCCATAAAAGGAACTGACCTCATACAGAAAATGTGAAGATGAAATTTCAGAACAGGAAAATCAATTTAAGGAAATAGTTTTGCCTACTCTGTTCATTCCCCGCAAAGTATCACATCAAGACGATTTAGAGAAGAAAAGTAAACTGCAGATACTTTCTTTGATGAAAATTAACTAACAAGACTTCGCTACCGGGAGTTCTTGGGAAATTTAAGCTTTTCAAGGATAGTGCTGTTCTGAATTCAAATGTCATAGGTCAGGTATTCCAGAGGAACCAGAAAGCTCGTGGCATGGTTACTTGTTGCACAAATACAGATATGAGATTGAAGTGAAAGAAACATTTAGAAAATATAAATTCATGTAGCATCACCATCAAGCCTCCAACAGAAAGACTTGCACGTTCTAAGCGGTATATTAAGGAATTTACTAAAAACTATTTCTCGAGTATTGACAGACCAAATGGTTCCACTTAACCAGAGCTTCAACACCAAAGTCTATACTCAATGTGAGAAAGATCTAAAGGGATATTTGTTGCATTCGAGGCCCAAATATAGATCAAAAAGCTTATTGTCTCTGATTTTCGAAGTCTCACCTAAATGTTTCCTGGTTGCAGGGATGGAGATAAGATGGTGACATCTAAAAAATCAGAGAGGCCTACTCAGTTGGCAAATATCGTGATCAGGCATATGAAAAATGTGCATGGAAGCTGGACGAGACAGTGGTGTTAACGCTGTGAAATGTGGTGTTTTTATTTGTTTGATTTTTAGGTAAATCGAGGAGACAGCTTCCAATGATTAGGTCAACTCTCGCGCTCTCTGGTCTTTATCTGGAAGCTACTTAATATGCCCTGACCTTGAGTTATACCAGCTACTGATTGCTATAGACAGCTAGAAAAAAATAGCTGACACCGATTTTAAACATAAATCCAACTGTTCGAGACACTGTTTGCGTAACCCTAGATATATATACTTCTTTCTTCTTTTTCTTTTTTCTTTCCTTTCTTTTTTTTCAAAAATCCTGTCTAACCAATTATGAAAAATAAGCAAGGAATAAGAATACAATATGTAAAATAAGTATCAAAACATAACTTTAAAATATATGGCGTTATCAATACTGGCATCGTAAATCTAAAGATATTCTTTATTCTATCAGGAGGTTAATTTAAGATAACAATTTCCAGATAACAAGCGGTGCCAAACTTAATCATTCCTGGCATAGAAAATATTCACATCTTTATGAAGTAGTGATGATGAGAGGGATTAATACGAACAATTTTGCACTGGCAAAATCATTATCACCATAAAAATAATATCAGAATGTAACTCACCTAAAATGGGCAAAGGGAAACGAACATACAATATAAAATGAAATAAAAACACTCGCAAGCAAAGAAAAGTAGTAATAATAGTAGTAATAATAATATCAATAAAGTAATAACATTAATAAAGTAGTAATAATATGAATAACAGGAATAATACCTCCGGGCCTGAAGAAATTATTTTCCAAGTCGTCATCCCAAGCTGCCTCCTCCAGCTCCTGAAGGGACTGCGGAAGGGCCAGCAGGAGGAGGCCCACCACCCTCTTCAGCAGATTGTTTCTACGCTCGTAATACCGCATAGGACATTCCCCGGGAAGGTAGCTCGGTGTGAGGGATTCCTGCTGAAGGAGTTTGTCCACCATCTCGTGGTTGGCGAACTGGAGGCGGGCCCGGTATGCTGGCGGTTCGATCATTCGTTAGATCAAATTATAAATCGGAAAAGGGTGTTCTTCTTAGATATGTGTTTTATGTCAATGAGGAAATCTTTATATATGGATGTATACATCTTTTCCACATATTTAAATGTTTGAGTCCAAGTGTCAGAAAGAAATTTAATGACTAAAATAGAGAAAGATGATCCTTTTTTTCTTGTTTACAACTAACATTTTACAAATACATTTTACTTTTATAGCGCATACCTCCAAGACAAGGTCACGTGCAATAAAAATATTCATACTTAAAGAATTACATTAAAATCACCTCTTTGTCAAGTACACAGGTGCCGTCCGTAAACATAGCCTCCTTGGCGGAGGCAAGGCAATAGGGGTAATGTAATAATTCAAAAAATTACTGAATACGGATCGCGATCCGGACCACCACCAAAATTTAATGAAATTTAAGTTAGGATAAGACCCACCTCTGGTAAAACTGTGTAGAAATGTCTGTGTATAAACTTTTGAGTTATCCTGCTAACAAACAAACTAACCGACACGACGAAAAGCCTCATTGGCGGAGATAATCATGTAATATGTCGATTTACAGCACAAAGACAGAGAAAGGAAAACTGAGGAAGACAGTATTACTGGGAAAACTCACACATATAAAGGGTCTCAGCAATGTCATCTGTCAGCAGAAGCGCTATCTGCTCCCTCAGCAAGTCGCTCAGCTCCTTCTCCATCTCCTGCAGAGCCGGCCGTACTGCAGCAGGCTTCACTGACCTATGTCCCCTTGCAGCGGGGATCGTAGAATATAAAAA